TGCTTTAAATGTTTGATATAATTCATCAGTTAAAATGTATATGAGCCTTTTGTCGTCATATATGTAGGTTTTCAAGCTAGAAATATACTTTCTTTAATAGGTGCTATTCAAATTTTATATTTCCTCAAGAATCAGTTTCATAATTTATCCTCCAAGGCACTTCTTAGAAGTCGTCAAATTTATTTAAAAAATGATTTTTGTAATATGTTTTCTATATCCTTTTAAATTCTGTAAAATCTGTGGTAATGTCCTCTAAGTTTTGATATTATAATTGAAAAAGTGTATAATTGATATTATGTAATAGGAAGAAAAGGTCTAAAGGAGTAGGGGAAGTAGGAGGGGTGGGGGAAAGGTAAGAAGGGAAAAGAAGAAATAAGAGAAAAGAAAAAAATGGAAACAAAGTCTTTGCAAATAGGGAAGGGTGGAGGGGTGAAGGGAGGGGAGGGAAATGGGGAAAAAATAAGAACCAAGATACATCATGTAGAGGTACAAGATCCCAATGATGAATGTAACTATATTTTATATCTAAAATGTACCAGTAAACTTAATGGAAAAAACAAAAGTGGCCACAGCTGGGAATAACTGGCATATGCCTATAATTCCAGCTACTCAGGAGGCCAAGGCAGGAAGATTGCAAATTTAAGGCCAGCCTGGGCAACTTAATAAGATCTTGTTTCAAAACTTAAAAAGAAGTAATTTTTTTTAAAAAGCTGGAGATGTTGCTCAGTGGTCAGACACTTGCCTAGCATGGGTGAGGGTTGGGTTTCATCCCTAGCACCACAAAAAAGTGGCCCCCAAATGACCTTGTAATTCCTAGTTCACCATCCACCCCTAGGTTATTTGAGAGAATAATAAGGTGCAATTGACAGAGGCAGTCTTTGAAGAGAATTGTCAGAGAAGAGAGTGCTGCAGTGTTTTACCTCCCCTTCCCCTACTCCTCTCCATATGAGGGGTTCAGGGGATAACACTGAGATTTCTGGGAAGTACTCGCTAGGAGTGAAGACTGACTTTTTACCCACAAATCATTAGCCACCTACTAGTCTATACCTCAGGCCCACCTCAGCTCCCCCAGCAGTCAGGCCTGGAGGAGCCAGATGTGTGTCTCAGTTCACTGGGACACAGACACAGTGATGGTCGCTTCCCTAGAGAAAATCAAAGGCTTGGGTGTTTCTTATGTCAAATTCTTCACCATACTATTTTATTATAGCACTCCCCAAAATATCAAAATCATAGTTAGATTAAATCATAGCATAACCATATGATAGAATGTTATTGGGTCAAGGTATATAAAGTCTTTGGCATGTTCATAACTTATTTTTCTAAAGTGAAAGGTATAGAACAAAATATTATGCTCATTGTCTTAGTTCAAGTTGATATGACTTAAACAACAAATACCTATTTCTCACCTATTTCTCTGGAGGCTGGAAGTCCAAGATCAAAGTGCCAACATTGTTGCTTCTCCCCTTCCACCTCATCCCCATAGCCCATCCTGAGAATCCAATCCAGAGGCACTTTACCACTGAGCTACATCCCCAGCCCTTTTTAAAAACTGTTTTATTTAATTTTCAGACAGGATCTCACTAGGTTGCCCAAGTTGGAGTCAAACCTGCAATCTTCCTGCTCAGCCTCCCTACGTGGTGGGATTACAGGTGTGCTCCACCACACCTGGCTGTGTGGTCGCTTGATGGTGAGGGCTCTCCTGGCTCATGGACACCTGCCTTGTTGCTGAATCCTCACATGACAAGTACAGTGAACTCTGGTCCCTTCATTTCTTTTTTTTTTTTTTTTGGTACCAGGGATCGAACTCGGGACCTTGTGCTTGCGCGGCAGGCGCCAGAACCACTGAGCTAGATTCCTGGCCCAACCTTCATTTCATTTTGAAGACACTAATCCCATTGTGGGAGCTTCACCTTTATGACTTCATCTAAAACTAATCGCCTCCCGGAGGTCCCAACTCCAAATGCCGTCACACTGGGGGCTAGGCTTTCAACAGGAATTTGGAGAGATGCAAACATTCAGTCCACTGCACGTTGTGGTCCATTTTGGGGGAAATGAGCCTTTGAGAAAATGAGTCTTTGAGTGATTGAGGAAGAAAAAAAGCAGTCTTTGAAGAGCGCTGTCAGAGGAAAAGGGTCACGACTAAGAATAAATATCTTAGACTTTGCTTTGTGATTGTCTTGCCAAGTCATGGTGTTAACTTACAAGCTGGTGATAAAGCTGAGGACTTCCCCAAAGTGAGTGAATGCACCTGCTGTTCATCATCCTATGAAGAGGTTAGGCCTGGAGCTTGAAGTGCTGGGGAGGTAAGGAGAGCTTTCTGCCCCACGCAGGCCTGGAGGCTAGATGACCAGATGTTCAGAATAGTTCTTTTGGTAAAAACATGCACATCTCTTGCTTATGAATTTCAACTTACATACTCAATTTAAATGTTTTCTATATTTCCCTTTTGTTTGCAAATTATATCTGTCAAAGTAATTCTGCATGATAATTGTACATAGATCCCTAGGTATTCTGCACCATCACACAGCTTTGAATGTCAGTTAGGTACTGCTGTGTGGGCACCTAGCTGCTCCCCTGCAAGATGGAGCCAGAGATACAAAGTTCTCTGGTTTAAGACACCCCCATATACGGCTGCCTTCACAACTCCCTGGCATTCTGGATCAGAGGTTGAATATCTGATAGGTAGTTTTGGCTACTTGAAAGGGCAATTTCCAGGACTGAGTCCATGGGGTCTACAAGTTCTAGCTAAAGAATAAGTCCTGCTGAAGTGCATTAAGGCTTCATGAAATGAGTACTGAACAGATAAAATAACGATTCTGTCTATATTTGAGCTACTGTAACATGGTATGTGTGTGGAGGGGAAAGAAGCTACTTCCTCAAACTAACCCATCTTCAGACCCTAAAGAGTTGCTCCTTCGTTTGAATTAAAATCTATCTTCATTTAACTTCCAATCCTTTGCCCTACAAATAACTCTTGAGGCCACATCATTCCACTCATTCTTTCTCACCAAGACAGCTGTCATATTCCTGAATCTTTGACTTTTTTTACCCGGTCTCATCTGGGCACTCACATTTGAACATGCTCCAATGTGTCTATGTGGGTCTATTTTTTCAAGGCTGGGGATAAATCCAGGGCCTCTATATGTACACGTTTGCTCTACTGCTGAACTACACTCTCAGCCCTTGTATCTCTTCAAAGTGTAATAAAAAACCACAGCACATCTGTGGTCTGATTGGTAGAATACTGTGAGATGATCATTCTCTTACTACATGACACCAAACAACGGAATCTTTTGAGTTAGAGATGTTAGAAATGAGAGTGGGACAAATATTGCAAGCATGAGCTCAAGCTTTATTGTGGGGAAAGGAAAGGGGGCCCCAGCTAAATTGGGGCTGAAGGGAGTGAGAAGTTAGCTGAGAGAGTAATCAAGCTGCTGCTCCCAGAACAGACAGCAGCAGGTTTTTATTGATTATCTAGGGTGGGCTAAAGTCAGGTAATTTTCATTGACGGGGACATCTTTTCAAAAGACGCTTCTTGTGACAGACACAGACCACCAGGTGGTTACAGTCCACTTGTCCTACAAGCTGTTGAATGTTCATGCATCTGGCAGCATCATACTGCGCAAAACATGGTGGGCTAACAGGCTGTCAGCTCCACTCAGGAACTGCAGAGTGGCCTTTGCAGCTAGCATCATGGTCTTGAATAAACATTCTGGCCTTGATAGGGTTGAAGGACTTTCAGGGTTTGAGTTGCTGAGAAAGTACAAGGGTAGGGTAGAAGAAATACATAGCAGCTCCAAGGCACAACAGGCCAAATTAACCTTGTAGCACAGTCTTGAACAAAACATTTTTAAAATGATCAACATATCTATGTGAAGAGAGCAGCTCTGACCCAGGTTAAGACAGTAAAGGGAACAGGCACACTATGAAGACAGAGACGCCAAACGTTTCATCCCATTTTAGTCATCTGAGATATCGGTAAGCCCAAGAGAAGAGTCAGAGTTTTCAGCAAAAGGTCCCGAGTTCGAGTTCGATCTCCGGTACCAAAAAAAAAAAAAGTAGCATCTACGGCAAAGCATCTACGGAGATTAATATATATTACCCAGCTATGTGACCTCCAAAACTAGTAATTTTAAGTTGCCTAACAGCAAGTGAAGCCAGGGGGTTTATTTAGGTTATTTTCTTAGAAATTCTCATTTGGGCTGGGGATTTAGCTCAGTGGTTCTGGTGCCTTCCTCACAAGCGCAAGGTCCTGAGTTCAATCCCCTAGTACTCCCCCCCCCCAAAAAAATATATATATATATAGAAATTCTTCTTTCATGCAAACAACTCTGCTTCTGTGATTTTATTAGGGTCTTGGGACAGGTCTGTTGAAATATGCCATGGTACACAATCGTTTATTGCACTGAGTTTATTTTGTCATTCCAGCATTCTGTCCCACCACTAACTGTCCCACTAGATACATGGGATTTTGTTTTGTTTTGTTTTTGTCGCATCAGATATTTACTTGGTTAGTTATAGTTGACAAAAATCTCACTTGCCTGTTCACTTTTCCCTCATTTATAGTTGTGCAGTTGTATTTGTGGAGCCAAATAAAATCTGTAACATTTAGAACATAATGCTTGACCTATGACCTAAATCGTTAGGATAATAATTTACTGTTACTTTTGTTTTTTGCGTTGTTGGGGGGGTCTAACCCATGCCTTGTACAATCCCCAGCTCAATAATTAATTTCATCTTATTATTGTAATCATTATATTAGGTGGTTTACCACTGAAAATTAGACGTTGGGTGTCAGGCCTCACCTCTTTCGGCCTCGGAAATAGAAATGCTACTTTGCATTACATTTGTTTTCGGATTTTCAGTCCGCAATACCATAACCGGCCCTTCTCGGCCCAGAAGGGCCTAAGTAAGCCCCGCCTCCCGAGCTCCAGCGACCCGGCCCCTGGCGTCTCCCCGCCCACTTCTAGCCCGAGGCGGGAAGCGAAGGACGTAGGTGCTGATTGGCTGTCTGGAGCGCAGCTTGATGGCGTCAAACCAGGCAAGCGACCGTCTCGGACAGTGCCCCGGGGCGAAGGCTACCTGCGTGAGAAGGCTGGTTGCGGAGCTTGCGATGGCCTTGGAGAGCTAAGGCTCCAGCCCTCCTTACATTTATACATGAGTTTCCTAATCGATTCCAGCATCGTAATTACCTCCCAGGTGAGTCACCGACGCCCTCAGCGCATCCCCGGGCCTTCCTTCCAGAATCGCGCTCTAGGGCCTCGGCGTTGCGGGCTGGCTGGGGTTTCGCTGCTCGCGCCCGCCCCACCCTAACCCTCAGAGCCCAAGGATAAGGTGGGTTCTGCTGCATCCGCTTCCCTCCGCTCAGGTTGTCTGAGGCTGGCTTTCAGCCAAGGCTGCAGCTACTGTCTTTCCAGTTCATTTGTGGGAGGGGTCAGCTGGGCTCCACGTCCAGAGCGGTTGCCGGGAGAGGGGAGCCAGCGGTCCCTAAAGTTCCCCGAAGCCTCCGGACTGTGTCGCTGACCCAGCGATTGAGGAAGTTGTGGTTCCAGGCGCTGGTGTGCGGCGCGCCAATTAGGGCTGAAAACTGGGGACACGTGTGGGCTTTGTTCTTCGTGTCAGATCCTGAGTTGAGTGCAGAGAGACATTTGCTGCCATCACTTATATCAAATATTGGGGTTTCCTGTTTGCACTGACACCTCACCCCTTATTTTCTGCTTGCTATTCACCCTTTTCGGGTCCTTTTCCGACCTTCGTTACTTCTCATTTGGTCACATTCATTCATAGTCAGCATTTACCTATTTTATAAAGCTCTGAGAGTACAAACATACAGAAGACACTTTCTCTGCCCTCTAGGACCTTCATCTAGTGAACTTCTTGCTTTTACCATTTCATTTGTTGTTGGTCTGTTTTTTCTCAAGCTCTTAGAATAGCAGTGATATCATTTAAGTACTTGTGAGTTTATTTCTTAAGATCCTGTACTGTCCATAGCTGTATACTCAGTTCCAAGTGCAAGCACTCAAATAATTGTTGGCCAACTGTTACCAATTGTAGAAGCTCCGACTACCTAATTATTGGCTGCCCCCACCAATGTACACAATAATTTAAAGTATTCTTAGTTGTTCTTTCTTACAAATGGCAAATGAAAGAAATAATGCCTTTTGAAAGCTTAAAGTAAGCTAAATCTGGACTTTTGATGTCGTTTTTGTACTGCTTCATCCTAATGCTTTTGTCTGTAGAGCCCTGTCCTTGCCTCTTGAAAAACTTTTATAACATTTAAGATATTAACCAAAAGCCATTCATTGGGCTAGCACTCTAATAAATAACTTTTTCTATTTTTTAAATTTACTGTCTTTAATTTCTGTTGTTTTTATTGTTGATCATACTATTCAAATATATCAGTGTACAAAACTCTGGACATGTAGCTCTCTTAAAACCTTTTTAAGGCTTCCTACTATCCCTGATGACAATACAGTACAGTTTTTATCCTTAATACCAATTCGAGAAAAATACTTAAACAGCATTTTTCATTTAGAATTAAAATAAGAATGTTAATAGAAAGTTGCCATTGCATTGCAGCTTCTAAGATTTTTAACATTTATATAATTGAAAAGTTGAACCAAGAAATAGCTTTCTAATCTTTTGTGCCTTAATTTCATATACTTTAACTTTCATACACATAGTCACATAACTGTCTAACCTGCTCAAAACTAGGACTCAAAGAGTCCTTTGCATCAGATATTCTCTGTCCAAATATATATGTAGCTACTTTATCATCATTTAGGTATCAATAAAGATGTCACTTCGGGATGGCTTTACCTGGCCTCCTATCCTCAACAAAGTACCCTTTCATCCTGGTCACCTTCTTTCTCATTTCCCTGTTTTATTTTCTTTTCACATTTATCAGTGTTGTGTATTTCTTTGTTATCTGTAGACTCTATAAAGTCCACAGTGTTATCTTTCTTATTCTCTTCTGTATTCCGTAGTGTCTAGATCAGTTGCTGGTCCATAGTGGAAACCTAGAAATATTAATTTAATAAAAAGCTCCTTGCTAGGGAGATTCACTTACTTTCAAAGCAACCTCCCACACCACTTTTCCTTTGTGTGTGTATGTGTTTGTGTGTGTGAACTGAAAGGTTTATTTGAAATGTCAGAAATCAGAGGTCACATATCAAAACTTGTGAGCCTCAGACAACATCTTAGCGTACCAATTGTTAACCATGCCACGGGAAGAAGCTGAAACTCTTTAATATGGCTTATAGGGTCACCTAGGTTGGACCCTGACATTGAGCTCTTCAGCCTTGGCTCCCACCATATCCTCACTTCACTTTAGACTTCTAAACTTTTAGTTCCTTAACCTGGCCATGCTATCGTGCCACCAGATGTCTAGTCTTCTCTCTTTTTAGGACACTCCCCCTCCCCCATATTCCTTCCCTTCTTTGTCTTGGCAAACTCCTGTTCAACCTTCAGATCTCAGCTTGAACATCCAAAAAGCCTGTCCCGGACTGGATTAGATAGATAGATTAGAAAGATAGGTGTTCCTATACATGCTGCTGTAATGTCCTTCACTCCCCTTATAACAATGCTACCATGATGTTTTGTAATTACTTGTTGATCTCCTCCTTAAATTATAAAGCCCCTAGAAAGTAGCATTCGTGCTTTATTATTCACTGTTCTATCACTAGGACCTGGCACATATTATGCAACAAGAAATATTTGTTGGGGGACGGGAGTTTAGCTCAATGGTTCTCACACCTGCCTCGCAAGCGCAAGGTCCCGAGTTTGATCCCCAGTACCACCACCACCCCCAAAAAAGAAATATTTGTTGGCTGAGTAAAAGGTTGAATAAATGATCCAAGAAAAGTGTCTTTTTCCAGTTAGTCTTTAATACTAATAGCCATTTTTTTTTCTCTGTACTGATTTTCAACCTACAGGTCATTTTTATAAAAGCAAGTATTAGCCAACATTTTGACCCCTCTGTACTATCGTGAGACTTAACAACTCCAGAGTACACTCTGAGTCCCAAGGCCAAGACTCTACTCTGCAGTTCTAAAAGCATTTTTTTTTTTTTTACAGTATTGGGGTTTGAACATAGGGCATCACACTGGAATTCTTATTTATCTTAAGTGTAATAAATCATCCAATTACTTTTTGTTGTTAAGAGGTGAGTGTCTCCCTATGTTGCTTAAGCTGATCTCAAATTTCTGGGCTCAAGTGATCTTCCTGTCTCAGCTTCCTTTAGTAGCTGGAACTAAGGAAGTGCCACTGTGCCTGGCTGCAATTACTTTTGTGTGTATGATTTTTAAGTCTTTTAGAAGCTTCCTTTGTCAATGGGAAAGGAATCAATGATAAAACATTAAAGGTATATATCCATTTTTCTTTTCATCCATTCTCTAGCCCATCATACAAATTTACAATTTTTACTTGTTTTCTCTTCTTTGTCTAAAGCCTCATTTTAGGTGATCTTGTTAATTTTTTTAAAATTATTCATTTCCACAGTCTATACCATTCCCAATCACAATTGTCCTACTTCTCTACCTTAATTATGGCTTCAGACACAGTTACCTAATGTTGCCAAATAGTCCAGGAAATTTTTTCCTCCTTCTCTGTTTACCCTTTTCTGCTTGAACTGGATTTGTGGATCCAAGTTACTTTCTCGTACCCTCTTGTTCCTGTACCTTCTGACTTAGTCACTTTCCTCATAGCTGGGAGAAAATACCCAACACCCACAAATTAAAGGAGAGGTTTATTTTGGCTCATGTTTCAGTCCACAAACTGACTAGCTCCAATGCAGATGGGCATGGCTGAGGAAACCTGGCATCCTTGATGCAGAGAGTGTGAAGGGAGGAGCTGAGGAGGGAGATAAAGCCTTCTAGGCCAGGCCCCCAGCAACTCACCTCTTCCAGACTCCACCCCCTAAAAGCAGGTCAGCTATAAGCCTCCATAATCTAATCACCTTCCAAAAGCCCTGCCTTTGAGCACATGAGGCACCTGGAGGTAATAAACCATAACCCCTTCATATAAAATTCCACAGTTGGATCATTATTTTGTTGACTGCAATGTAGGGGCCTGAAGTCAGCTGTAGAAAATTACAACTGTGCAGTTCACCAGCACAAGTTTAACCCTTGTCTCTTCATAACTTTAATCAGCTGCAGTACTTGTTCTTTTCTCCTCATAGCTTCTGAGTCTTTATTACTCTCCTCGAATCCCCCTTCTCTGTTCATCTCCTAGCAGATGATCTTGTCCCCTACTTAAACAATAGAAGTGAGACCAAAAGATGTGATCTCCTTCTGCTTCCTACATTTTAATCTAAGAGGTTATCCATTTCTACAGTCATTCTCAACTCCTTTCCTCCCATGTCAGAAAATGAGGTACCCCAACACCTCTCTGCCTTTTACTTTACTCATACTTTTAAGAGTGGTTTTTAATATTTTAAGGGTGTGAAAACCTTTGAGTGTGTGAAGAATATCTTGGAACTTCTGAAGAAAAGTGCACATAACCTCAAAATTGCACACAATACCAGATTTTAATCCCAAATTACAACTTCCTTCAGCTCAGGTATTATCTTCTCTGGAAAATCTGATCTAACCCCATACAGATTGGTTTGGTCTCCCTCTTTCATACTGTTTCACAATAGCATGTACATGTCTGTGTCATTGCACATCCATATTACATTATATATCCATATTACATTATTTATTTTGTGTTTTTAGCACTGTATTGAGTTTCTTGAGGGTAATGACTCTCTCATCAAATTCCCAGCATCTAGTAGAGCATGTAGAAATTACTACAGAATTTTGAGGTTGAATGTTACTGATTGATGACTATCTTTGACTGTAGCGCATTTAGCCACTCAGCAAACATTTACAGGGACCCTGCTGTATGCCAAGCAGTATGCTGGGTGCTGAGGATACAAAAATATTAAGACAGACATAGTCCTTGTCCACAGAGTTTGTTTGTTTGTTTGTTTTTAAGCAAACTTTATTTGAAAAAGTAAAAGTGAATGAGAGAGAAACTGGCTCTACAGTGTGAGTTTGGGCAGAGTAAAATAGGAAAAATCAAGATAAAAGTACACCCTGGAGACTATCATGAGGAAAGCAATCCCAAGCTCTTGTTGGCATCTGTCTCCAAATCTTGAGGAAACCCACGAGAACTTCTACACACAGGTCTTCAGAGGTGGTGCTGGGATTCCATGCCAC